TGTGTGTGTGTGTGTGTGTGTGTGTGTGTGTGTGTGTGTGTGTGCTGAGAGTTTTGCCTGCATGGATGTATGTGCACCACCTTTGTGCCTGGTGCCCACTGAGGCCAGAAGAGGGCATCAGCTCCATTGGAACTAGAGTTACAGATGGTTGTTAGTGGCCATGCGGGTCCTAGGAACCCAGATTCTCTGCAAAAGCAGCAGGCATTTGTAACTACTAAGCCATCTCTCCAGCCCCAGGGTTTCTGATCACTACTCTGTACTTGAGGCTCTAAGAGGCTGAGTAAAGCCCCTAGGCCTAGGACTGTGTCACAGTTGGAAGAATCAGATCTTGAACTTGGAGTTATCTGATTCCAATCCACATGCTTTAGACAGGCTGACCCTTGGCTGCAAAAGGTCCAGCAGGTTGGTGTAGTGTCAGAAACAGAGGCATTTAGGGAGCGTGGTGTGCCCTCCACCCTCACTTTCAGCCCTGCCAGCCAGCAGGCAGCTGACCTGATGGCTGAACTGTGGTGACGGTAGTGGTAGTGATGGTGGTGGTGGTCTCTTCGTCATCCCCTGAAGCTGTGGAGGTGGCAATGGTCCCCTCGATACCAAGCCCTATGGTCTTAGACATGACCTCTGAAACCCAAGGTCTGCCCATGTCTCCAGGACCCTCCTGGGTTGGAGTCCATGCTTGGCTGGGGGGTGTAGTACTGGGTCTGTCCTCTGGGTGCAGCGTGGGCACTGCCATACTTGGCCCTGGAGGAAGGGGAGATGTGATATAAACCTCAGGGGGCTCGGACTCTAGGTTCCAAGGTTTCTCCCTGGAGTGGGGCTGGGTTGGTGCCGCAGCCAGGGCTGGAGTCGGACTGGTAAAGACGGGACGGTTGTCCTGGTTGGCGAGGCGGGGAAGGGGGCTTGGAGTAAAGGGTGTAGGTGAGTCTGGTTGGAAGGGCAGTGCTGGCCTCGGCGCTTCCTCGTTCCTTTCTAGCCCCTCTTGAAGAAATTCCTCCAGAAGTGGGTGGTGGTTGAGCAGCTTGAGGGTAGGGGCTGTGGTGACGAAGTGGACGCCTCGGTCTGACTGCTCAGGTGTAGGGGCTGCGGTCTCCTCCCCATCCATCTCCCTGATGCCCGTGGCTTGACCTTCCCCCGTGACTGGAGCCTCTGAGGAGAGTCCTGAAATAATAATGAATGATCAGAGGCTCTCCTGCTACGCCACAGTGAACAGCATCCCACCCAGCACAGGCAGGAGCAGATCCATCTTGTTTTTGACAGAGAGCCTTGGAGAGTGTGCTCATTGTTGAGAATCATGGAGCTATAAAATTTTAGAGCTGGAAGCAAGGTGACATCACATACTTCAAAGATGGCACATGAGCTATCCTTTCTACTCCAGCAACCAAGACAGACATTACAAATCGATCATTGCACTGTTTCTTGCTGTTTCCAGATTCAGCTTCAGAATCCTCCTCAACACAGAATGCTAGCTAGGAAGTCATGACACGACAAATACAAATTTGCCATTTCTAATGTACCTCAAAGGCCTTGTCTTACTTATAAGGAGATGGGTCAAGAAGAGCAAGTGAAAGGGCTGTAACTCAGCTTGTAGAATGCTTGCCTACCAAGCATGAAGTGCTGGGCTCTCTCCCAGCACTGTGTAAACTAAGAACTTTGTAACCCCAGCAGGAAGATCAGAAATTCAAGGTCAGCTTCAACTACATAGTGAGTTTGAGGTCAGCGATACATGGGGACAGAGCCCTGTCTCTGAAGAAAAAGAAAAGGAAAGGAAAGGAAAGGAAAGGAAAGGAAAGGAAAGGAAAGGAAAGGAAAGGAAAGGAAAGGAAAGGAAAGGAAAGGAAAGGAAAGGAAAGAAAAGAAACGCTAGGTGTAGAGATACCTTTGGATCCAGCATGCAGGAGACAAAGGGTTTTGGGCAAACCTGATATACATAATGAGTAGGATAGCCAGGGCTACATAGAGACCCTTTCTCGAGAGAAAAGAAAAGAAAAAAAATGAAAAGAAAGAAAAGAAGAAGGAAGTACCTTGTTCAGAGTCTAGGACCCTGTGTAAGTGGGGGAGACGAGGATTTTAACAAGAGTAATGTCCCTTTAATCCCAGCACTTGGGAGGCAGAGGCAGGCGGATTTCTGAGTTCGAGAGTTCGAGGCTAGCCTGGTCTACAGAGTGAGTTCCAGGACAGCCAGGACTACACAGAGAAACCCTGTCTCGAAAAACCAAAACAAAACCCAACCAAAAAAAAAAAAAAAAAAAAAAAAACCAAGAGTAATGTCTCACACAACAGTGGCTTTTCTAGCTGAAATTACAAGACATTCAAATTCATGTCCTGTTCCCAGTAAAACTGCTGGTCATTAGTTTCAGGAAACATTACATATTTGGAATTTTGTTTTAGATTTTCTCATGCTTGGCTTCTTTGCTCAGTCCCCATGAAATCCCAGTTCACTACCCTCCCCCAAAATGATTTCTCTCCTCTTTTTTCCTGATTTTTTTTTTTTAAACTGAGATTTCCTATATAGCCCTGGCTGTCCTGGACTTTGCTATGTAGCCTAGGCTGCACCCTTACTCCAGTGTCTCTGCCTTGCAGGTGCTGGCTGGGCTGAAGGGCATATGTCACCTGACTCTCCTGACTTTTATGGTCTTTCTAGAGTAGTGCAGTTGGGGAGGCCCAAGTTCTGAAGCAGAGTTGGCTTCTGATCCACTCGGGTCCATTTCTCTGGGCTATGTGGTCTGGTCAAAGGGCCTACAGCCTTTAAACTTTAGTTTTCTTATCTGTAAAATGGAACTTCGGTCTTATTTCCTTTTCCCACCTAGCATGTCTTGTTAACCTCCTCCTTTCTGTTATTCAGAGACACAGTCTCACTCCACAGACTTCCGACTGGCCTGAAACTCACAATCCTCTACCTCCTGAGTGCTGGGATAGCAGGCATACACCCATGCATGACCATGCCCTCTTCTTTTAGCTTCCTTAGGATGCTACACAGGGTCTTAAACAGGGATGGAATGGGATGCCACCCATCCATTCATAGCATATGTCCCCGATCAGTTTTGATAATTTCTTGCTAAGGTCACATGAGGCTTGAAATCCTTCTCAACAGTTATCCAGGCAGCCATTGCCAATCAATCAGGCTACAGAAAATGAGACTTACTTCCTGTCTCTGGTCATCAGTATAGATTGTTCTGCTATTGATTATGCTCACTCATTTAACCACATCACTGGAGAGAAGACTCACATCATCTCTTGTGGCCCACGAGACTCCCTAGATCCTTAACTGCCGAGAAAAGGCCAGTAGATTCTGGCTCCGTATTTAGTTCATACAGAATCTTGTCAATTCTGAGAAGGCTGGGCTTGGGGGGATATTCCTCATCTCTACAGCTCTCAAAATGGCCTCCGTGAGGATCTAGAAAGAAGGTCTACCTGGAGCGAGATAGCAGAGTTTGCAAGGAGGCTGGTTCCACTACAGGTCTGCTGGAGGGGCTGTCTTTCCACGGGCTCACACCCACCCCATGGATTGGCAGGCATGAGGAAGCGGCAGATGGGCTACATTCTGTTCAGGAGACCATCACAGCTCTGATGTGTCAGACAAATGGGAGGAGGGAGAAAACTGGGGTGGGAAAGGCAGGTTTAGGTTGGAGGGTTCTCTAGTCTTCTGGGTCATGAGGTCCAACCAATTCAAAGCCTTGAAAACCTGGACCAATTGCTACATCCTGAGATGCCCACTAAAGTAGCCCATCTGTGCCCTGGCATTTGTGCCAAGCTCTGATATCACAGTGTCCAAACTAGATACCCAGCCAGGCTCGTATCCCCCAGAGCAGATGGTCCGACAGTGCTGGGTGTCTTTCATCTAAATCAGTGACATGGCGCTCAGGGGGGAGGGGTGTTGAGGTAGTACCTGTGACATGCCAGGACAAAGCTACTTTCTCTCCTCCTTGCACCCCTCCAGATGTCATTCGGTCTTTGCCAGTGACTGTTCTTATTGTGACACTCAGGCTGGAGTCCCCGGAACTCTCTATTGTTCCAGGTCCATCTTCCAGGGGTGCCTATCAAGAAGTGTGTCCTGTGGCTCTCAGGGTGGGCACCTGTGGGACTCTTGGGGGGGAGGAGGAAGAGAGAGAGAGAGAGAGAGAGAGAGAGAGAGAGAGAGAGAGAGAGAGAGAGAGAGAGAGAGAACGCACAGAGAGCCTGTGCCTCAGGAAGTGACCATAGCTGGCACCGTTCTCCTGCCAGCAGTCAGGTGGGTGCTGTGCAATGGAATGGAGCTAATGGGCACCTCCCGTCACTGTCGATTGAGCTGATTGTGTTATCTAGGGGGACCGAGCACTTGGTTAAATGAGATCGAGATAGCATATCAAACGAGCAAATTGATTCCCAAATCGGCCGCCACTTGTTCCCTGCGGGAGCCACCCACTGTCAGCACGGGTAAGATAATCTCTGGGAGATAAGCCACGTCTGCAGGAGGTCTCTCCAGATACCTTGGTGACTGTTGGAGGCCTGAGGGTCTGTAGCATGTCACCGGGGTCCCAAGGGTTGTGATGAAGAGGTCAGGGCTTCTCTTTGCCTGGCTACATTTAATGTTCAGGGCTGACTCAAGGGACCAGCTGAAGGAGGTGCTGAAGGACCAGACTGCTAAGCCAGTTCCCTCTGAGACTTTCTATTATTATTATTATTATTATTATATCATGCTATATGGCCCAAGATGCCCTTAAGCTTTCAGCCCTCCTGCTTTAACCTTTCTGAGGATTAGGGCTAGATGGTTTTGTTGTTGCTTTGCATTGCTTTTTCACTTGTTTGTTTTTGTTTCAAGACTAGGGTCTCACGTAGCCCAGGCTGGACTTGTACTTGCCACGTGGTTATGGGCGGTCGTTAGCTCATGGATCCTCTTGCCTCTACCACCACGTGCCAGTTCTGCAGGCAAGTGACAGCACCCCAGAAAGCTTGCATTATTTAATTGACACAGCAACTTGGTGATAGAGGAATCTTCCTCATGTGTTACATAAAACCGACAGCTGGGCAAGGCAAAGACTTGCCCAGTGCTGGAGCCGACAGTCAATCTTCGACTAGCTCGCTCACTATTGATTATGCTCACTCATTTAACCACGTCACTGAAGAGGTGACGCACATTCTGCCTGTGGCCCACTAGACTCCCCAGATCCTCAACTGCCAAGAAAAGGTCAGCCGATGCTGGTTCCACTTTCAGTTCATACAGAATCTTGTCAGATCTGAGAAGGCCGAGAGAATAGTCCTGGTCTTTACAGTTTTCAAAATGGCTGTGTGAGGATTAGAAACAAAGAGTAACAGGCAAGGCACCCAGTCATTCCAGACCACTCGGGCCTTGGCAGGGAGTGATGGAGCTCCCAGCAGTCCTCTGAAGGAGGCACAAGCTAACAGGGAGGAGTGCATGCATTCAAGGTCTCTCTGCAGGTTGGAAGTGATCCTGGCCCTTGGGAAGGTGGCTTGGCTAGAACCAAGAGAGCCCCTATTCCATTCCCAAAGCACATCTGAGCCTGGGACCCAACTTTACTCAGTAGTACTAGAGTACAGGCACACAGACCTGTTCTGGTGTCAGTTCTGTCTGGGGGCAGGTTTTTATATATCTCTAATCCCAGCACCAGGGAGGCAGAGGCAAGCAGATCTCCTGTGAGTCCAGCCTGGTCTACAGGCTCCAGGACAATCAGGGCTATGTGGTGATGAGAACAGTGGAGAGAGAGAGAGAGAAAGAGAGAGAGAGAGAGAGAGAGAGAGAGAGAGAGAGAGAGAGAGA